CTACGCTAATGTCGACATTGGCGACTCCAATGTCGACTCTTTCAGCATCAGCTCGCCGTTCCTGACCGTTCTGAAGGCTCAGGAATTTAAGGGTTCCTGTTGAAGCAAACTTTCTGTTGAGTTTCCTTTACTAGGATACCCAGTAACCTAAGAATAAAAAGGCCACTCTTTTTGGTATTGGGTAACTTTATAAGGAACCTAGGACTACAAAAAGGGAATAAGGGTACTACTGGGCATCCTAGTTTAACGGTCGGAGTTTCGGTCTGTCGCTCTGGAGCCGTGGTTGTCGCGTCTGATCTTATCGGCCTCGGTAGCGAGTGGAAGCGCTGCTGGGCGATGCCTGTAGAGACTTGGTCAGCCCTGACAGAAGGGGGTGCTCCATAGTGTTGGGTGATCTTTCGTTTCCCCGCCTTCTCTATGCTCACATATACGGGTTCATGTATGTACGATGCATAGCCGTATAACCTTAACAGATTGATCCTTGTCGCGGCCTCGAAGAACATGAATAGACCCTGGCCACGCACACCGAGTATCCTGCACCCTAATCCGCTGAAGTGAAGTCTGCTTATTCCCTAAAACCATATGTGGCACTAGCTTGAACCAGATGAGTCTCGATAATATCATGGTCGCTTTGCTTGTTCAGGACATCGACCACCTGTGCACAGAACTCTATGTGAATTTGGGAGCAGGTTTTGTTTGGGGGGAGCTTTCCTCCCATATGCTGACGATCAATTTTGGTTTTGCAGAAGGTGAGGCCTGAGAAGAAGACAAGAGGTCTGAGGCTACGTTGCTACAGCTCTTTGAAGGCGTCTTTCAGGACACTCTACACCATATATACATATATATATATACACAACCATATGTATCACGAACTCAGGCCATGATGATTACTTGTTACTTGGCACTAGCTAGCCCACGCCTGCTTGCATTTCCGGGGAACCCCCTGGGTCGCGCATCCTCTCAGACACGGCACAGTGCACTCTGAAACCTTGGACTCGCCCTACATCCTTCAACCCTGAACCCCTACACACTCCGAAACCCTAAGTGCTTTACGTGAATCCTGTCGCAGCCTCGATCGCGGCGACGTGCCGCACGGGCCACCGTAAAGCTGTGGCAAAATTCAAGGGGTGTCGGTTTAAGGGCCAACGGTATGGAGCAAGGCTTCAGCGACCGGTGGGAACGAGGGTCGATTTGAAAGAATCTACTAGCAAAGAAGACGTTTTGCTCGAAAGAGGCGCAATTAAGCAGCTCCAATACACTGGCAAAAGTGAACCAATGAATGCATTTCGCCAGAAGCCCTGGATGCAAAACCCGTTTAGACTCCTAAAGTATGGTACTCCAAATGCTCAGTAACTCAATTCCGAGCCCTAAGCCCTAAACGGTCATATCGAGGAAGTGCCAGGTCTCAGGCTCCGGCTGCGTATTCTAAAATGTCACAGGGGGTTTAGGGTCTAGAGTTGGGGGTGGGGGGGTTAGGTTTAAGGTTTAGGATAAGGTTTAGGATTTTGGATTGGGGGGTTTGGGGTCTTGAGTTCGGGGAGTTTAGGTTTAAGTTTTAGGATTTAGGATTAGGGGGTTTAGGGTCCGGAGTTGGGGTGTTGAGGTTTAAGGTTGGGGGTTTAGGGTTTAGATTTGTTTTTGGTGTTAGGTTTTAGGCTTGCAAACGGAGGCAGGTACAAGATCGTCACAGCAGGTCAGCAGGAGTTTATGAGCTCGTCAACTATACTGGACACTCGCGGGTAACCATTGAGAATACAGACGACATGAAAATACGACAGTGACATCATCTTTCGAGGTGCCGATATCCATAACCCTAAACCCTAAACCCTAAACCCCACCAAAAGCCTTACGCCCTGGTGCCTTGGCGTCAATGGGCACCTCTGGGTCATGGTCGTCGTGCAATCGCATCCTCCGTGCTGTCTACACTGCGGGATTAGGGGGTTTCCGAAAGTAGGGGTACCTTATTTTGGGGTCCTTATAATAAGGATCCTACTATTTAGGGTGCTATATTAGGGTCCCCTATTTTCGAAAACTCCCATTAGGAGGGCATAAGGCTCACCTTGAACCTAAACCCTAAGCCGTCTGCACTTCAGGGCCGTGGGGTTCAGGGTTCCTTGGACACCCTAAAGGCTGAAGAAAGCCGGACCGCCTAACCCAATCCCTAAGGGTCCATGTACCAATATAGAGACATGAGCCCCAAAGTACCTATAGAGGGACTACACTAAAGCCAATGTATATACTATATGAGTACATGGACCCTTAGGGAATATGAACCAATCCAACCCAAATCGCCAACCCTCCAACCCCCAAACCCTCAGCTTGTCAACGCCATACCCAAACTCTATAAGCCCTAAACTCCATAACCGCTAAACCCTCCACCCCAAACCCCTAAAACCTTTTACCCCAAACCTAGCGATTGCCTCGGCTGCCACGCAGCTGAAATTCCCATGAACCCCCGAACCACCTATATAAACCTAAACCCCAAACTCTAAACCCAGCATACTATGACGGGAGGCCACAAGGGGGGTTTAAGATTCTTGGGGTGGGGATTCCTGAATATGAACCCTATTATGGGAACCCTAATCCCTACTCAACCCCATATGCCAAAACCCCTTTTGGCCTCCTATGATACTAAGAACCGGGCTGGTAGTCGATGTGCACGAAACATCGCTCCACTTCCTGTCGCGCAGGGGGACGGGTGTCACTTAACCGACGGCCTCTTTGTTTTGGGAGAGTCCGGAAGGCTTACTTTAAGGACGAAATGAACCCTAAAACGGTTTAAGGTTCATATACCATATAGGGATTCATAGTATGTGGAAATAGGGCCCCTACTTTTAAGGGTCATTTGGTCCTTCAGGTACTGTAGGGGCCTTAATAATTTGTTTTTAAGTGGATAGTCGAAAGCCAAAGTGTCTGCGTTCGAAAGCCCAAACGATCTTCACAGTGATTCGTGTATCACCTGCGAGCCAGGACATCTCATGCCTAGGCTGCCGACCGGTGTTGAAATGGCCTTGTCACATTCTCAAAATTCGTCACCATAGCCCTCTTCCTCTTCTTCACCCGCATTGCTCGTGTGTTCCTCGCTGCCGTTCCCATCCTCATCATCGGACTCGATGTTGAGCGGGCCAGTCTCATCCGCCACATCTGACTGAGGCTTTCCCCCTGCGAAATACGTGACCAGATTCTCGGAGGTGATCGCCTGCGACGAGGTTGTCTTCACTCGCTCCAAGGTCTTCGTGATAGCCCAGGCTTCGTCGTCATCGATACCAAGGATCGCCTTGATGTCCTCCCTTCGCATCCCCAGTTCTGCACGAACTGAGCCCTTCCTTAGAGCCTTGTGTTGAGACATGATAGTCTGATCTAATGTCTCTCCCAACGTGGGTTTCACGTAAGACAAAAACTCCCCCTTCTCCTGCTTGAGTACCAACGCCATGTATAGCATCTTCTCGAATTGCCTGCGTCCAAGAAGGTACCCCGGCATTTCGGGGAGGGTATAAAAGGCATCAGCGAGCCGACTCAGATCGTCAGCTGCAGATTCCATCATGTTGATGAAAGGCCCGATCTCATCTCCGAGCTCTGGAATCAAAAGTTCGGGAGCTCTCTCTGTGATCAAGGAGAATGCCAGACACTGGGATGTTGTCCCAGACATTCGTCGTTGGGCGACCAGGACCTTTGCCGCTGGACCAATCACGGTGATCTTTGTCATCGCTGCCAATATCTTGTGTGACATGTTGCGCGCCGAGAACTTTGTGGTGTCCTCGTTGATGGATCCGCAGAGCCGGTTTGGCTGAAGGATCTTCAAGATGGACTCCGCGGCTTGCTTTGCCGATGATTGGGGCACTCGCAGCTCCCCTGTCAGGCCTTGTGTGATTGGCAATACTCTGCGCTCTATGTACGACTCACCCGTGTCATTCTTTCCTCTTCTCTTGGGCTGGTTTTGGCCGGCAACAGGAAGGTGTAGCTGTCGGCCGGTCATCGCCGTCACCAATATGCAGAACACCAGTGAGGCACGGGTTTTGTTGTCCCCTGCTTGCAACACCATATCTGGGACCGGTGGAAAGCTGTACTGAGTCTCGACAAATGTATTCAACCGGTTGAGAACCCCGCGAAGTGCCAGGACGTCTTCATCTCCTCTCTCAGCCAGTTCTTTCATTCTGACTGCATCTTCTTCGCTCGGAGGAACAGCGTAGCCATGATCGTCCAACTCGATAAACACATGACCCAATCGATTCTGGATTTTCTCAATCTCCAACTTGAACGACTGAACCGCTTCCTCAACTTTGGAGAGTTTGGCTTTGTCTTTGAGATTGTCAGATTGCGCAGATAGCAAGGCCACCCTGTCTCGTAGATCTTTTCCAAGAACATCGGTTACAGCCGACGCATCAGCAACATAACGATACCCGCCATAGGCGTACAATTCTTCAACCAGACTCCCAACGCGGAAGATAGATCCTATCACACCTAGGACCTGCACCAACTTGTTCTGACGATCCGCAGTCGACAAGAAGTCCGCAAGAGCATCCACAACTTCATTAAAGAGGGATTTGTGTTCAAGGAGCACGGGAAGGGATGAAGATACCGGAACTTCGCACACCTTCATGTGCTCAGCCATGGTTGGAGCGGTGTCCTGAGCAGATGAAGCGAGCACACGCGTCGGAGCACTCGTTGAGAATGCTGCGGCCATCTCAGAAGTACGCAACTTGCTTGAGGTCGCCATTGAAAAATGAGGAGTGATCCAAGTCGAAAGAACGACGAGTTTCAGTCTCACAGAAATCAACAACACTCGATTCGAAAAACGGCTTGATCCAAAATGGCTACGGCCTTAACAACTACCTATGCTGTTTTGGGGGGGCTCCCTATTATAGCTATAGTATAACCAACACCGTATTCCAACTAGTGAGGCCCCTGTATTAGCTTGGGTACTGCCACCCTGTAATTACCGGTTTTAATCATAGAGGGCCTCATATACCTTGATTGTGAACATCATTCAACTGTTACAGAGTGGGGGCAGCACCCTAGGCCCAGGCTTGTGACCTTGCGTTCAATCTCATGGGCGGAGTGCTTCTTTCTCGGTGTGCTACAGAACACCGCGCTTTTCGGTTGATTCGGTTGTCGAGTGAACCTTGGTACAGTACATTCTCCCGCCAGCATCATCTCGAGTCGGTATGGTTTGCGCTCAGACAACAGCCGTGCATTTGCAGCGTTGACTTCGGATGCTCGTGGTAATCGAGAACGACTATGCACATCCGCAATCCTGAGAGCCCTGCAACACCCTTGCCAAAGGCCCAAAACCCTCTAGACCCTAAAAACCCTGAACTGCCAAATTCCTAAACCCCCAAACCCTAAATCCAAAACCCCTGGGCCCAAATTCCTAAACCCCCAAACACTAAATCCTAAACCGAGCCCTCCAGGACCTCGAGCGTTTCGATCTTGTGCTGCAGGAGAATCCCGCAGTCGTGGCTGTCGCGCAGCGTCGTGGACTGCAAGGGCTTAGGTTTAGGGTCTAGGGTTTAGGGTTTAGGGCTTAGGGTTTAGGGTCTAGGGACTCTTGGTGACTTCGGGTTTAAGGCTGCAAGGGCTTTTCTTGGTGACTTTGGGCTGATACCTGGACCCCAAAAGCACGTAGAATAATAGCCTTTTATAGGTTTTGGGCCATTATTTTACCTAGTTTTGGGGGTCTAGGTAGGGTTGAGGGTCCTAGGGCTTCTTGTGTTTTGAAGGGCTCTATACATCTATGATATGGACTTTAAGGTTCTGATAAGGGCTCTGTGTAAGGGTCTATAAGGTTTGACGGTGTTGAACGAGCTACATCATTCCTGCAGTGGTTCTGGACTATGGAAAGCTCCTTGACCTTTCGTTTCTCGCAGAGTTTCTAGCAGCATCTCAGGAAACGACAGCTTCTAAATTGGAAAATACCCCCCGGCCCCCAAATCTTAGTCCAATAATTAGCGGTAATGTGCGGCCGAAAATAGGGGACCCTAATATAGTGCCCCAAATAGCAGGATCCTTTTTCCAAGGACCCCAAAATAAGGTCCCCTGTACTTCCGGAAACCCCCCTATGTTACAGATTGGGGGTTCTCTGGTTTCGATTTCACGGTTTAGCTGGCAGGATTCTTGTACACCTCCCCAAAGCCACTGTCTCGAAGCTGGCTGTCACTCGTCGGAGGGTAATATAGGCGCCTTAATAATTAGAATAGGGTTTCGGGGCCCATCATACTGATAAGGAACCCGCAAAATAGTATAGGTGTTTTTTGAAGCCCCTACATTAGGTGGGATTCCCAGTGTGGGAAGCATTCGCCAGGCCTGCATCCCTTGATCAGGGGGGTAGGGGGTAGGGGGGGCAGGGGACTAGGTTTTTTATGATAATACATTACTATTAGCTTGATTATGATTTATTATTCATACTATTACTATTTCTTTTATTATTACTGCTATTAATATCATTATTATTATTATGAATAGGCCCCCGAGCCCCCTCCCCCCTACCCCTCCCCCCCTAAGGGTCCTTATGATTCACCCGATCTTGAAGAGATCAATTGTGCTTTTCAGGAAGTCCGGTTGGAGGCCCTGAAAAGCTTGGGTCAAGTCCGTGATGCTAACGGCTGTAGGTGCAGCGACTGCCAGTGGAAGCTTCTGATTCGCAGCCTTTCCTACGATATTCACCTCATCCTCAGTCACTAGCATCTTTCTGAAAGGCCAGGAGTTAGTTAGATTGAGGCACCTTTCTGCTTTAGTTCTATTAAGGAACCTGATGGAGAAGAATTACGTATTATTCCAACCCCTGAAGTAGCCCGAGTTTCCCATCCCTGGATTGGCACATGTTGGGGCAAACACTTGTGACTTCTGGCTATATACCTATACTTGTAACCGCGAGGTACCACTTGTAGCCCTAGCAGCAGATGATGCCGAGGAAGATTCAGAAGCTGCGAATGGCTGAGCGCTAACAGTGTTCCTGTATTCTTCACCTGGTCCCAGAATTTTTAATCCAAAACACACCTTATAGCTGGGCTGATGACAGGCGACAAGAATAAGAAAGAGATAGGCCAAGATGTTGAGGCTGAGAAGGACGCAGCGCACGCTGAGGTGGAGAGGAAGAGAAAACACCCTACACCTGAACCCTATAAACCCTAAACGTCAAGAACCAAAGTTGCATAATATACGGGCCTTAATAATTAGAATAGGGTTTGGGGGCCCGTTATACTATAAATATAGTCAAGAAGGAAGCCCCAAAGTACTAAAGGTAATGATAAAGACCCCTATATTACAAGCCCCCTTGGCTCTAAGCAGACATTCATTCTGGGAGAAGCTTGTTTGATTTCCAGCTATTCCGTGCAACTATCCTCAGACTCTTTTGCAAGAGTTGCTTACGCTGAGTTTGTGTCAATTTGCAGTCTGGGGTCCATTGCTTAGCGGATGGGGTCTGATAAACTTGGCAGCTTCTGACAGGGCGCAAGTTTTCTTACGGCCGCACAACAGCGTTTGCACGCAAACAACATGACAGCCAATAGCCCTATCAAACAGCACGCCGCAACATAACCACGAGGCATTACGTGACAGGTAAACTGCAACAGACCTCATATCGAAACCAAAGCGATGAATCCAGTGGAGATAGTATACGAGGGCTTTTCCCACAACTACAATTACAACCCAGCGGATAAGCCGTGAACTTTCAGGTGAACCCGAAACCATGAACCGGGAGCCCAACACGCTGCTGTTTCAAGAGCTCTCTTCGTTCGGATATATTATGCCCGGGCAATATGTTGCTCTGACCTCGTTTGAAAACGGGGCTTGGGGCACCCTGTTTGTAGCCTAAGCAACGATAAGATCTGACCGCCGCCATCCACACCATCTGCAAATCTGCTTCTGCGGCTGTATACTGGGGCAAGCTCCGATATTTCAACACCCCAGGAGAGGGTTGCATGCTGGCGACTGTATTCTAATGCGCTAATACTAGACCTAAGAGTAACCTAGGAATGGAAAGGGTGCCCTTTTTGGTTTAGAGGGGGTTATAAGGGAACCTAAACCCTAAAAAAGGGAATAAGGGCCTACTCTGGGTCCTAGAATAATATACTACATCGATAGACCCAAAAGCTCCCCCATAGGCCCCAAAGTAGTTCCTTTTGGGGATTACCTTATAATATTCTACATTAGAAGCTGCCCCCACCCTGTACTAGTGACTATAAGGATATATAAGGATGATATTAGGGCCCTATTATACTCCTATTATACCACTAATACAGGGTGGGGGCAGCTCCTAAATTCTACATATGAACCCCAAAAAGGAACTACTTTGGGGCCTATGGCTAGCGAGAGGGCCTCTGGCATGACGACCTCCAGTTCCACGAGGTACCTGCGCCAAGGGCATTTAGACTTTTGGGTTTAGGGCTTAGGGTTTAGGGCCAACCCCAACCCGGAACCCAGAAGCCAAAACACCTAAACCCCCTAAAACCTACACCGCAAAACCCCAAAACCCCGAAACCTCTAAACTTACCTTTTGGTTTGTAGGGAATGGAGGAATTGGGTACAGTTAAGCTGCTGCTGCTGCTACTACTACTACTACTACTACTACTACCACTACTACTTCTACTACTACTACTACTACTACTGCACCCTAGATAGTAGGATCCTTTTCATAAGGACCCCAAAATAAGGACCCTTAATTTTCGGAAACTCCTAAATCCCAGGCTTCAACCAAAAACACAAGTGAGACCTGTACACTCGACCGTAAAACCCAAACACACTTAACCCTCAACCTGAAACCCTAAACCCTAAACCCTAGGCTCCACAGCCAGTTCAGCCCGGTTCTTTCCAACAAAATCACAAAACAACCCTCAGCAGATAGAACCCTTGTTAAGCACATGCCGAACCCACTGCAACAGAATCGTCATAAACCTCTGCAGAACTGCGACACGCTTGTCTCGAAACAAAAAGTCCTACGATACAACCCTCAGTCTACGCGAAACCCTACATTCAACCCCAACCCCAATCCTTGTTTGACAGAGCCCTCCCTAAACCCCTAAACCCTAAACCTTAACCGTCCATTGTCTGGATGGCCGCTGCGACCGACTTAGCGTCCCACGGCTCCGCTCGAAACGAACGAAGATGCTGCGACTCTTCAAGCCGGCAACTGCCAACTACTTACCTTTGTTTAGTAGGGAATGGAGGAATGGGGTGCAATTATAGATACTATTCCTACCATTCTTCCATGCCCTCCTAACCAAAGCTAAGGCTACCGGATAGTTCGAACTACGATCTGGGCTGACTCGGAAGTTGCAGTAGAAGTCGCGAATGTCCTCATCCGACATGAGAAGGATCTCATGAGGGGACAACTCCAAATCCAGGAGGCAAGTTGCAAACACCATTGTGTTCATCCATCTGGTCTCCGTCTCAGTGCACATGTTCTGCGGTCTTGCACTCTTAGGGGACCCCAAACAAGAGCCGCAAACAGTGCGGGCATCGAAGTCAGCTCCATCAAAGAGTGCAAGCCGATCGCCCGAATCCAAGGCTGCCAAAAAGGCAACCAGAAACCCTGCGCCCTTAAGCCTAAACCCTGAACACTTAGTTTATGGGTGCCTGTAGGAGGACTAAACCCTAAACTTTAGAAGCTGCCCCCGCCCTGTAATAGTCACTAAAAGGATTATAATAGGGCCCTATTATATTCCTATTATACCACTATTACAGGGTGGGGGCAGCTTCTAACCTAAACTGTACTCCTGCTCAAAGCCGAGGTGCTTGGGCCCGAAGTGGTAGGCCGAGAGCTGATCCAGCTGCATCCGCCGGTCGTGGATCTGACGAAGTGTACCCAGAGAGCCCAATACCCCTTAAATAAGGAATATAGCTTAAATGATAATATGAAACCCTATATAGTTTAAGCCATATTCCTTAATTAAGGGGTATTGGACTCTCTGGGTAGTTTAGGGGGGTTAGGATGGTTTAGGGTTTCACTACGGGGGTTTGCTGGGTTTAGGGCTTTAGGGTTTAGGCTTTTCGGTTTAGGGCTAAGGGTTTGGGGTCTTCACTATGGGGATCTATGGGGTTTAGAGCTGTGGGTTTAAGGTCTTCGGTTTGGGGTGTAAGGATTAGGGATTAGGGGTTATGGGGTTTAGGGGTTTAGGTTTTGGGGGGTTGGGGTCCCGGGGTTCAGGGTTTGGGATTTAGGGTTTTCGGTGCGGGGTTTAGGGGTTCAGGGTTTAGGGGTGAGGCTTTATTGTTCACCGGAACGATCTCAGTATACGGTATACGGGTCCTTCAAGAAACACTAGGTCATTCGGGTGTAAAAGTTTAGGGCTTATGTCCACTCGTAATGCAGGGCTCTTGTCGAACAGCATCGACTGAGGGATTCTTGTACGCAAAGTGGCAGAAATTTAGTGGTGAACTTTAGTCAGACTGTATTCATAACAATAATAACGAATGTAATCAGCATAATGCTGGTACTACGGACTAAGTCACAACACGTTACAAACATGACAAATAGAACCATGCACAACATCAGCTAGAGAAAAAAGGATCCTACTATCCAGAGGGCCCTTCGTATAAGCAGGCCTGCCCAAACTGCTGGGTTCCATCCACATTAGAGTTTAGCATCCACAGTAGGGCTCAGGGTTTAGGTTTGTTTTAAGGGCATGGGGATAATGAGGCTTCAACCTTCACGCCTCTGAAAATCAGAGGTGCCCTAGTCACTTGTCCCTGTAACCAGCCCCAAGCGCTAGTACTCAGAAAAACCTTTCACAGGGCCTTGTTTCCGGGCTTATGAATCTTGAATGGAGTTGTTCACGATTCTACAAACAGGGTGCTACACACGATGGGGTTCTAACAAATTGTCATGTTGAAGAGAACAGGTTTGGGTAGTGCAACCTCTCCGGGACGCGGCTCCCAGTTTGCGCCCAAGTCCTATGATTTACGCAGGATTCATCCAGCCACGTCCCCCGGAGAGCTAGCAAATTCCAATACATGGGCCACTTCTTTACCTCGACCACTCTCAATCCTGCTCATGCTTGAACGACGGAATTGTGGCCGTCCCTTAGAATCCTGCCAGTATGGGGGGGGGGGAGCACGCACAAGTGCAGTGCTCCTGAATCCCCCCGGTGTTTGCAGGAAAACATTTGCTGATGTGATTTTGCATCCGCAAGTACTTGCGGAAAGGATTGTGGTCGTGCTCTTGTATCCCGGCATTAATCGGAAAATGCATGTCGGCCGCGCTTCTGAATCCGTCAATACTTGGGAGGAAGCAGTTTGGCCGTGTCCCGGTGGCTTCCCTCCGGTCGTCTCGTGGTGGCGCTGGTCGTCCTGGTGGTCGCAGTCTGGTCGTCGTGGTGGTCCTAGTGGTCGTGGTTGGGGGGTCGTGGTGGTCATGGCCGTCGCAGTCATGGTCATCGTCGTCGTGATGCTCAATCGCTGTTTCCCTGGGATGCACCCTAGCATACGTGTGTTGCTACGGCCATCAGTCCGATAAACATAGTTAGGGACGATAATCTTAGTCGCTGAGTTCATAAGCACCAAAACGTGTACACTTTCAGTTTGATAGTGGGTAATGTTTTCCCAAAAAGTGTATGTAAAGTGGATCCACACAGCTACTCAGTAATAGGGTTTCTACAAGACCGCATCAATTCGTCTGCATCTGTTTTTTCTTCCTGACGTCTGTGCTTGATTCATACATGGGCGGTAATAGTTGTAACAGTTAGGGCAGGACTTGGGGGGAGTATATTGCATTCATTAATGATTCGTTAGTATTCTGTTATAATGAGGAACTAAGGAACACTATCAGGAATTATTCAGACCTCCATATTGCGCTCTTTTCTCCTTGATTTCTGGGTGCGTCCGTGTCGCGCGTCATAAAGGCAAGGGTATCAAGATCTGAACTTCTTGTCTTTAATCGCAGGAAAGCCTCCGTCCCAACCCTAAACCCTAAACCCTAAAACCCTAAACCCTAAAACCCTAAACCCTAAACCCCCTAAAACCTGAACCCTTGATCGTAAATCCGACCTCTGGGCCCTAACAACCTATACTGCTGCAAAAGAGAACCTGTACGGAACGGGTCATAACCTTCTAGTTTGTGAGATTTCACCCTACACTTTCAGTCACTTAAGTCGACCTTGCAGCTGATTTTTGCTTAGCACTCGGGGAGTTCGGAGCTTAGTTGATGGTTTAACCTTTAGGGCGTTTAGGGTTTAAGCTTCCACATGAGTCTTCCATAGCGCAGTCAAACTCATCTCATCCGGGAGACTGCCGTCCCGCAATTCATGGTCAGTGCTGTGGGCAAACCTTCTCCCATCAGCTCCGTGATGACCGCTGCCACGAGCGCGACCGCCAGGCTTTCGTGAGAACCTTGTCATTACTGTCCTCCGGTGGCTGCTGACGACCCCAACAGACAGCTTTACCGGTTAAGAACTCCATGTCAAACAGGCCAATGTAGCCAAAACGCCGGCACCCCCCCCCCTCTCACTGAGAGGCCTTGGATCCTTTGCCCTCCGCAGCTTGCGATGAGAAAGAGTCGAGGAACAAAATTAAACGGATACAGGATAATGTAGCTAAATCACCCTTAGATGACATGAGTGCCCTCATCCGAAACCCCTACACCCGTAATCCGTAAACCCTACATGTCTTCTCAGGCCCCGGGAGAACTCGGGGTCTGAAAATATCTCCATCTCCACATCCTCCAACTGTTCTTTATTCGTTTACGTGAGGGCCCGTGTTGGGTTTAAGGTTCAAGATGTAGGCTCCAAATCCCTACAAAAAGCTGTGAGAATTGCAACAAGCTTGTAAGGCCCAAGACGAACCCGGACAACGAAACTCAACACCACATTCCTGAACCCTAAAGAACCTACCTGTGTAGGGCTTCTTACTATGATTTCCTTACATAAGTCCTTCAAAAGGTATCTTCTTTAGTGTCCACGTCATTCCTGAACCGGATAGAGATCCTAAACCCCTAAACCTTAATTGAGCCCTTTAAAGGAATCTTAGTTAAACAATCCTTAAAGCAACCCTTGTAGAAACCGTTAAACGACCCCTAAACCCTAAACCCTAGACCCTGAACCCTAAACCGATCCGCCGGATTCCTCCACGATGCCAAAGACTTTCTGGAGGAAGTCTGGGTCTGCCTTTTTGCCAACCTTAGAATTTGAAGGGTTTAGAGTTTAGGGGTTTAGGGTTTTGGGCCTAGGGCTTAAAATTAGAGTTTAGGGGCTTAGAGTTTAGGGGGGTTTAGGGTTTAGGGTTTAGGGTTTAGGGTTTAGGGGCTTAGAGTTTAGGGGTCTAGGGCTTTTGGGGGCTCTAATTTAGTAGGAACATGTTTGAGGAACCGTCAGCAGCAGTATTTACTAAGTATTCCGACCTGTGCATATTAAGGCCCTGGGAGGGGTTAGCGCCTTTTTTCGTTGGGTTTTGCGGAAGTCTGGAAGATGTTGATATTTGAGTTGCCGAGAATCAGGGACTCTAATGTAGTACCCTAAATAGTAGGATCCTTATCATAAGGAAGACTTATTAAGACACCCCTTATTCTCGGAAACTCCCAGTACAGCGGTTCACCTGGCTGGGGCCTTTATGAACAACTCAGAAGGCTTGAGAAGGGATGAGGGCGTGGGGCTTTTCATTGCGTTACAGTAGAAGCCCAGAAGTTGGAAACCCAAAAGCCTCCATCCTTAAGAGTAATGTATAGGGAATCCCAGCAATATTTGGCCTTGATCCGGCTTCCAACTTTATGGGGTTTAGTGTACGTGACCAGCAACTAGCAAATACTACAACGAATGCGACTGGTAGTATCGGTCTCGCATATACTACCAAAACTTGGGAACAGTGCAGACCAGCCGGATAGGTAACAGTGCCACTGTTTATAGTGCTGATGTAATGGGAATAGTCTGAAAAGTCCTGACAGCGAGAACAGGGGCAATGAGAACAACATAGCAACACAGGGCCCTTGTTACAACAGGGCTCTGGGGTACGTTATACTATGTTTGTAATCAGGAACCACCGAAATAGTGCATACGTAACTTAACTAGTAAGGCTCTCATTAAACACTGGCAAGCTGCAGGTCTTCACCGAAGTCTGAAACGGCTGAGTTCATCAGCTCAAAATCCCTTGGGTTGCAGAACCACAACAGGCAATAGTTGTATCCCCCAAACATGCTGCGTGTATTCATCCAGCTGCTACTGTAAGTTATGCCTGTTGGAAACCATCCACTGCAGACACTCTCTAAACTAAGCCCTTAGAAGAACCCTTACCGAACCCCCTGTACAGGAACCTTGTGACGGGACCCCTTATCATCGGAGGCATTCGTGGCCGTATCAAAAACCGAGCGCTCTGTACTGCGGTTGCACTGGGAACCCTATAAGTGTAGCACTAGGGAACCCTATGGACACAAACAACCACGTCCCTAAAGCTATAATATGCAAGATACAGAGGACAGGAGAGCAGGCAAATACAGGATTCTAAACCTTAAAACCCTCTCAGGCCATCGCAATCATCTCGATTTGCTCATACCTGCAAGTCTACTTACGATGCTCAAGGACTGGGGTTCTGCGGAGTGTGATACGAAGAGAACATTGCCTATATACGATGTCTACAAGTAAACCAAACCACTTATGGCAAGTCCTCCACCTAATCTGGCAAGAATTGCGCTTGCAATGCCTTCCAGATTCTGGATCCCCCGCCCGCCACCCCGACTATTCCGGATAGTTAGTTCTCTATCAGACTCCTATACAATGCTTACCGATGCCCGTATATACGACCCGTATGCATACCGAATCTCCGCAGTCTGCGATCCTTTGATCGGGAGTTCGGGTCCTGGCCACGTGGTCGAGACAGCGAATGCATCCATAGCAACTGTCGGCACTGGGAGCCTGGGACATGCGTATATTTATATGTGTGCATACATCATGAATCAGGAACCGAATAGCTGGATCAAGGTGTCTGTGTGTGCGTGTACATATATATATATATATATGTATATATATGTATTTACATACATATATATATATAACCCAAAATCTCGTCACTCGTTAACCCTCTACAAACCCTTCCAGCATGAAGCTCTACCCCAGGGAAATGGAAAGCCAGAGATGCCCAACAAAAACCCTGAACCCTAAACCCTGAACCCTAAACCCTAAACCTAGACCCAAGAGTAACCTAGGAATAAAAAGGGTGCCCTTTTTGGTTTAAAGGGGCTTAATAAGGGAACCAGAACCCTAAAAAAGGGAATAAGGGCTTACTCTGGATCCTAGAAACCCTAAACCCACCGAAAGCCCTGAAGATAGGGATGCCAAGCTCAATGACCGACATGTGGCAACTGAGACTCGGACCCTGTCAGGAGCCAGGTGTAGATGATGTAAACCTCAGTCCGATGGTAGATTGCTTAAGAGCCTTGTGTTTGGGCTTTAGGGATTTGGGTTTAGGAGTAAGGGATCAGGTTTATAGGGTTTAGGGATGAAGATTCAAGGTTTAGGGTTTAGCGTTCAGCAGCTCCGCATAGAGCAGTATTACAGTAAAGGTGATATTTACGGCCGCGCTGTAACACCCACCCACCCACCCACAGCTTCCCGTAACTTCAGGAAATACAAACGAACTATATCAGTCGGTTCAACAACTTCGATTCAACAGTGACCTTTCTATCCTAGTTCGAATTTCGATTTTTTGGGTTCGGAATGCTATTGTAATGCGCAGTGCTATGTCCAAGCTTTAATCGGAACCCTAAACGGAACCCCAAAAGGAAACCTAAACGGAACCCTAAACAGAACCCTAAAATGAACCCTGAACGGCTTGAACCACGAAGACCTGACTGAACCACGAACCTGTTGGCCTTGAATCATAAGGCATCTTAGGGGAGTAAGGGGGAGGGGGGTTGGGGCCCCCTCCCCGCTACCCCCCCAAAGGGTCCCTATGCTATTGACCGGCCTTAAGCCACGAACTATTGGCCTTGAACCGCGCATTACTGACCTTGCCTACAACCACGAATTACCGGTCTTGGGCCACGAACTATCCGCCCTGGACCACGAATTATTGGGGGGCGGCTTGAACCACGAATGTTCGTGGTTTAGGGTTTCGGGTTTCGGTTCAAAGCCGAAAACTCCTTGTTCAAGGCCAAAAACGACCATTGGCCTTGAACCACGAGCTACTGGCCGTGAACCACGAATCATTCTCCTTGGTCCACGTAATTCTTGACCGTGGACCACGAACTCCGTGCTGATACCTCTCCGAGCTCCGAGAGTTACTGTACATCGGCCGCAGCGCGACGCTGGCTGCATGTGACTTGCTGAAATAGCCCTGTTGGCGGCGCCTTGCTGTCAAGAAATAGACAAGCTCATACCGCCAGCTTACCGACCTGCTGGAATTGGCGAAGTAATGCAGCAGTGGGCAGCCCCCTGATCAGGCATTGCCTGATGAGAATCAAAATACAAAGTCCTTGCCGCGCACAAAAAAGCCCCAATTCCAAGCCTTCTAGATGGTTGAAAACTTGGACCCTGGAAGCCTTGAAGGGAAAAAGCGAAAGAAAAAGGTGCTGGAGCGATCCAGCAAGGAGGGAAGTTGCAAAGAAGCAATGCAATGGCTTTGCCATGGTATACATTGTGATTGAAAGCACTAGGCTAACGAGCACTCTTCTTATGCACATGATTGTCCTGAGCTGTGCTCCTTGTATCGAATCGATTGTCGGGGTCGGCAGCAGCTTTATTGCAACTGCTCGAAGTGGATGCTGAGGCAGCAGCGACGAGGAAATTCATTCGTTTGCGGAGCAATGGCAGTTAAGCATACGCCAAGCGAAGCAGAACCATGGAACGAAGCAGAACCGCCGTTGAAGCAGAATGCCCAGCACCTAAACCGTAACCCCTAAACCATGAACCCCCAAATACCTAAACCCTAACCCTTAAACCATGAGGCCTAATATCCAAACCGTTCCCCATACACCATGAACCCCTAATACCTAAGCCCTGACCGTTAAACCATGAAGCTCAGGCTCAATACCTAAGCTTCCCGTCACTTAACCCCGGAGACCCCAGCCGTCAAGCCCAGCCATCAAACGTAAAGTCCCCCGGCCTATCTATATTATCGATTGCAGTTTCGTTTTTGGGTTACGTGAAAGAACCTTATATGTGAAATTGTTAAACAAAATAAACAACTATAATGAACGCGACCTGAAACCCTAAACCCCTCAAATGTAGGGGCCTTAATAATTATGATATCGTTTGGGGGAGAAATACTACAATTATAAACAAGGAACAGCCGAAACACTATTCTGACTGTAATTATTAAGGCCCCGATATTAAACCCACGACCTGGACAAAGCCGCAACAAGGTTTGAGGGACCTCGGGCATGTTTCAGTCGTTAAGGGCTCTTGTGAAAGTTTCTGTCAGGCTACCATTAGGGCCCTAGAACTAGGGGTTAGGGTTTAGGGTTTGAAATGGGTTCTGCGGGTTTAAGGTTTAGGGCGTGGAGTTTCGGGTTTGGGGTATTGGGTGGGGTTTAGAGTAGGCTTTGGGTTAGGGTTAGGGGTTAAAGCCTTATGCGAGATGCTCGACGCAACGCCTGACAACGCCAATGGACTCTGTGCCTGGGAACTTCCAATTATCCTCGTCCCTGAGTCTGAGTAGAGGAAGCCCAAGGCCATTTCTTTAGGCAGTAGACTCCGTAGACCCTACATGACTATACTAACTAATTAAACCATATTCAAGAGATCTTCGAAATCTGAGGAGTCTTCCTGAATACCCTGAACTCTACACCCTAAACCTAAATCCAAACCCTACCTGGACCCTAAGGACCCTACCTTTTTAAGGGACTTAATATAAAGGAATCATATTCGGGAGCCCTAAAAAGGTAGGCTCCTTAGGGTCCAGGTAAACCCTCAGCCAATACATTTAAGGGCAGCTCAGTCTCGCGCAGAAATCCCAATGCCTGCCAGGGGATCGATGACCCAGAACTGGTAGCCCAGGACGATCATCTGAAGCGCTTTCGGGCGAGCCGGGAACGTTTGGGAACAGGATTTGGATGATTCGGGTTTGGGTTTAACCCCTAAACCCATGCCCTGAACCCTAAGCTTTATTCATGTTTTGGATGCTCGGAAGGGTTTCGATGAGGAGTTTCTCAGCTGTTATACAGTTTCATCGGAGCTTTCATAAACGTTTACCAAGGGACGAGCTGCGCTACAGGTCCCGGGAGCACCAGCGTCTTGCACCTGCTTATGACTCCTACTTGGAGGGTCGGGGGACTTAGTAACTGGTTATTGTGGGGACTTATAAGTACCATAACCCCAATTAGGGTCCCTTTTGGGGTACTTATAAGTCTACTTACTACCTACTCACCAAGACCCCCGACCCTCCAAGTAATGACTCCGACCACAACCCTCATCCGTGAATGTTACCCTAGGCCCTCAAACATGTTTAACCCTAAACTGCCCTAAACCCACAAAACCCTACAACCTAAACCCCAAATCCAAAACCCACAACCCCAAACTCTAAAACCCTAAACCCGAAACCGCTAAAACCTAAACCCTAAACAAAACCCAAAACTCCAAAACCCTAAACCCTGAAACCTAAACCCAAAACCCCAAACTCTAAATCCCCAAACCCTGGACCCTACACCTGAACCCTAAACCCAAAACCCCAAACTCTAAAACCCTAAACCCTGAACCCTCAAGAAAGAAATAAATAGAAATTGCTTGTCGCTGCTGGCGTTGAGCTCCCTAAACCCCACCCGCAGCCGCAGCCCCAGCCCCAGCCCCAGCCCCAGCCCAGCCAGCACAGCCCCGAACAAATCCAAAATGTGGTTCCAAAACAGAAAACATGCTCAAAACGTTTCGCTCAAAACTTTCGGTCCAAACGTTTTTGGCACCCAAACCCTTACCAATTTCCATACACCCTAAACTCTAAAACCCTAAACCCTAAACCCCAAGCTCAAAAACCTCAGCCCTGCCTCCCGGCTCTAAACCTTAGCCTGGTTAGGGCCTGGTTCCTTCTGTGGACACGGCGTTGGGATCGACCTTGCTTGTCTTGCTGCCTCGCTTGCCAAGCTTCGTCTTGGAGGAGCCCTGATCCTTTGCTCCCTTCTTAGCAGGCCGTTTCCCAGACCCCCGGGAGGATCCAAAAAGTAGATCCCTTAATGGGGGTTCCTATAAAGTACCCTTATAAGTAGTATAGGGCCCCAAATTAGGGGATCTACTTTCTAGATCCTCCCAGGGGTTTGGGTTGCTGCCAGCAGCAACGTCTCCACGCACCTCGGCCAGGAGCTTGGTCTCCATCTGTTCATACTCCATCGCGGCCTCGTTCTTCAATTCCGTCACGAGCTTCTTCACGCCCCAAAGCCTTCGAAAATGCCAGAGCCTCTTCCCTTTTAGTCGAAAAAAACCAGGAGCCCATGGTAACCTTAACGAGCTTAGGGGGTTTAGGGTTTAGGGGCTTATGGGGGTGATAGGTGTCGGATATGGGGATCCTTACATCGCAAAACATAATCGCAATTTCCAAGCACGGGATAAGCGGAGAACCAGATTGGCCTTGATGGCACTGCCCCACCCCAGTCTTTCATCCACTTTCGCAATGTTCTGCACACTATGTCCCCGCATCTCCCAACGGTAAACCCCAGTTCCCACTGAGTGATAATCCCATCCGAAAGAAATGCCCTGATCCTTCGAAGTCTAGTTTGGCGAAGACAAGTACTCAAATTAAGCATCCCACCATCCGAGATCCCCTTGTCCATTTTTGACACTTCTCCATTATGGCAATGCCTCGGGAGCAATGAGGGCCGCGATGTTGGAAATCACATCGTTCATGTTGTCCTGCGCGATGGCCTGGGGTGTGAGGACACTAAACACTGACCGCAGACTACGGAACATCCCAAATTCCATAACTCGCACCCATACAATACTCTTAAGTTCCAAGCCCGAGAAACCCTAAACTTACAAAGCCCGGAAGGAAAGAAGCTTTGGGCAGAACTGGAAAGGGGGACTCTGGGAGGGTGGAGGTGATCCTAAAGACATGGTGGTATGCTGCAAGTGCCATAAACCCTACACTCTGAACCCCTA